GCCAGCATCCACGGCAGAGACATGACCTTACCGGAACTTGTTTCTAGCCGCCCTCACGTAAAGAGTTTAGTCGCACAACCATTTCCGTGTTGTCCTCGTGTTGTACCCGTTGGCTAACGGCCAGGTGAAGGACATAGCTAAATATAAATATATAAATTTCCAACAAAATAGAGCGGCTCCAGAAGAAATTTTTAAAATTCTTTCCGTTTTTCTCCGAGAACAGCTTATTATTTGATCTTCTAAGGGTCAAATCTATTTATTCGCCAGGCCCCGATGGAGTACCAGGCTGTGTGCTAAAATACTGTGCCGAGGCTCTATGCATACCTCTTCTTAGACGTTTCAACTTATGTTTGAAAACCTCGATTTTTCCCCTTAATTGGAAGGAATCTTCGTAATTCCCCTAAAAAAAAAAGGAAAAAAGTCCGATGCTTCCAACTAAAGAGATTTCTAAATTGTCGGCAATTCCAAAGTTATTTGAAAAATTAATTACTTTGAGGCAAATGAGGATTTGCAACACCTTTGCTCTTCGATCATCACTCCATGTCAGCATGGATTCATTAAACGTCGCTCCAGCACCACAAATTCATTTCATTTCTTAATCTTTCTTTAAAAAAAAGTGTTGAAATTTTCTCTAGAGGTCTTAAATGCATATATAGTATAGTATAATATTATAGTGTAGTATAACACGCTTAAACTTTCACATTCCTAATAGAAGGACTAGAAGCTGCAGTCGTCTACTTCTTAGCTATTGTAGTTCCAAATATGCATAGCACGACATTTCGTGTGTGTCCGTGTCCGCTTACATTGATCGTCTCCACCCGCTTCCTGCTTGAGATCAGGACAGCCTCCGTCTTGTGGTGGGCTAGGCTTAGCCCTGCCTGGTCGAGCCAACCGATAACGCTTGCAATTATAGCATTGCATTAATCCTCGTCTTCCTGGATTGTCTTGGCGAAATGTCGTCCGCGAATCCGACTAGGTGTGTACGTTCTGGGAGCTCGAGTCTGAGGACCCCGTCGTACGTGACGTTCCATAGGGCGTTCCACTAGAGTGAAGAGACGCGCCTCCACTATGACGTCCCACCTGGCTGTATTAAAGGCGTTCTTAATGCCTTGATTCCGCCCGCCCAGCTGGTCCCCTCGATTGTCTTGAAAGCGATCCTTCTTACCAGGGAAACTGCATCGACCGTGGAAGGATTTTTTCTGAACCCGGATTATAAAGGGAAGAGATCTCCCGCGCAGATTACAGCCTCCGGCTTTTGCAGCGCTCTAGGACTTTGCCGACATAGTCTATGAGGCAGATCGGCCTTAAGGACCACGGAGCCTCCGGCGGCTTGCCTGGCTTTGGGAGCAAGACCAGGCTTTGGATTTTTCATTTTCTTGGGAATCACGTAAACATCCATTGAAGACCCTGGCGAACCGGTCCGGACACGTAGTCATCGCCAATTTAATCGCGTGGATCTGTCTGGGATCCCATCTGGACCGGGAGCTTTTCCGACCTGGATAGCCCTAGCGGCTTCCACAATTTCCTGGGCGCTTATTTCCTGGGCCGGCGTTGAGCCGACAGGTTCTTTTGCTTCGCTCGGCACTGGGTAGGTCTGCGTCGGAAAGAGGAGTATTACAATGGCATTCATTGTGGCGGATTCTTTTGGAGCGATCGGCTTTGCCTGCTTCGCTTTCTTAACTACGGTCCGGTAGGCCGATCCCCACGGATCTTGCTCGGTAGCATCGCACATCTCAAGGAAGCACCTCGTTTCCAGCTATATGGCTTGCCCTATTTGATGGTGGCAGCTCCGGTGGGCTCCTCGTCCTTGCTACCTTGCTGTACGAGGCTCGCTCCGGTGTGGTCTGAGTCGCTTCCTCGACGCGTGAACTGTTGGAGCCCGGCTCATAACCTGGTACATGCTTCTTACCTTTTGCGCCGTTTACCTTTGCCAAAAGGTCCTCCAGAATCGCGCCCATCTCGTCTACGGCGGAGACAGCTCGTCCTGATGCCTCTTCGGGGTGTGATCGCTCGCCGTCTGCTTGGGAGGGGTTTTCTTAATTTGATTCTGACTGGCATTAAGTCAGATCCGCGACTTATTTTAACACCATTGTCACTACCTTGCTTCCTGTTGCGTGCGCCGCGCCTTGGTGTAAGCTCTTCTTAGCTTTAGGGGAGAAGAGAGCTGGTACAGGCACCCTCTGCCGGCGTCGGCTTGCGCTAGCTGGCTCCTTCCACCGGAGGGGGAAAAACATGGCGGACGTTCGTTGCCCAGAGATCAGCTGTTTTAGAATTACAGAGCCTCTACCAGCACAAATTGTGTGCGTTTGAAAGAGAGTGACTAAGGGAGGCTCTGACTCCTAACTCAACATTGGTGACCCCGAAGTGATAGTCCTATAACGACTTTCACAAATAATTTGGCAAAGTTTTCCAGTCGCGATTTTTCGGTGCCTCTTTCATCCTTGACCGTACTCTGGCAACGCATATGTGGTTTTATCGCCAATTCTTTTCAACATTATCACATTGTTAATTCGCTTACCAACAATTTTGGTACTTAACTTTTATTTATTTAAATAAAAGTCTGCTCCAGTGTTACATTACAAAAGATATTTATAACTTCATATTCTACTCGTAAATAAGTTTTGACATTTATAATTCTCAATTTTTGAGAATTAAACAACGCCAGTTTCTGACAACGCCAGTCATTAATGTTTTTGATAACGTATTGTTTTTATTGTGTGTTAAAAAATTAAAAATAAAAAATTAAATTATCAAAGACAAAAAAATATAAAAACCACGTTTATATACACAATATCGCGGCCAATTGCGGACAAAATCAACACGATGGACTTGCAAGACGCCCCCCGCTTCTTCAAAACTAAGCCGTCTTCTAAAAAGACGGCCTGCGCTTATTTTCAAATAGACGAATACAGCGACTCCGAGCCCTGGGAAATGAAGCGGAATCTTGCCAAAAAACCTATTATGGATGATGAACCAAGCACCAGCGAAGCAGCCATAGCTGGACTAAAGGCTAAACGGGAAAAAACTATTTCGCCCTCCTATCTGATGAAGACGACAAAGATGATGATGACGACATGAAAGCGGCCGATGACAAAGAGATACCTAATAAATCCCCCAAGAAGGACGAAAAAGTAGCGATCTCTGGTGCCCTAGGCGACAAGGTTGAGGTTACTTATAAGGCCGGCCAGAACAACTCCATTTGAATCTTGACCCCGAACAAGGACGCCTTTACCAAACTTAAAACGTTCCTTAGCGAAAATAAAAAGAGGTTCCACACTTTCCAACCCAGAGCCAAACGCGCCTACCTTGTGGTCACCAAGCGCTTTCATTACTCGACTGATCCGGAAGATTTCAAAGAGGGACTCGGCTGCCTCGGGCACAAAGTCAGGGACGTACATGACCCCACTCAAAGGAGTATTAAGAAACCCCTAATCATACTTTTTGTTAACCTGGAGCGGTTATGCAGCTCAGTAGTGACGGTTGAGCCGCCAAATAAATTTAGCGATGTCCCGCAATGCTACCGCTGCCAGGCCTACGGGCACACCCAAAGATAAAGTGTGCAGGTGACTACCCAACGGCCCAATGTAAAATGAACGCTAGCGAACCGGCCCTTTGTCTCCATTGCGATGGCCCTTATGGGGCCTCTTACAAAGGTTGCGCAGCCTATAAGAGAGCAAAAAAAGTTTTTGGCCGCAAGCAGGCAGCTGTCCCACGGTATCAGCCGCCCCACTTCAACAGGATCGACCACAACGCTAGCAGGAATGACTTCAATGTCAGCTACGCTGACGCAGCAAGGAATGCTGCCCCACAACCGAAGACCAGATCCAACGCCAACCCAATCCCGCCAGGCAATTGGAAGCGATTACGTCCAGAATAGAGGCCATGTTCGAGAGAATGATGGAAAAAGTTATGGGTCAAATAACCTAAATGATCGCCACTGTCTGCAAGTCCTTATGCAAACGAGACTAGACGTCACAATTTGGAACGCCAACGCCTGGTGAAAAGCAGGCCAGCAGTGGAGCTCCACTGCAAAACTGAAAAAGCCGATATTCTCTTCATATCGGAGACCCATTTGACAAATAGAAACGACCTTATTGCTGTCAACCACCCAAACGGAAGAGGTTGGGGGGGTGCGGCCATCCTCATCCACAGCAGCATCAAGTACGAGACCATGCCAGCCATTAGAGAGGACGCCACCAATGTAGACATTACCTTTGCTGCTGCCCACTGCCTCCCAGACACAATGTTTCTCATTGGCGGAGACTTTAATGCCAAACACCCTTGGTGGAGCTCCAGAGTCAAAAAGGCGTGGCCCTTACTTATGCAAATCTGGGCTCGTAATCTCGGCTGTCATGCTACAGGCGCTCCGACCTACTGGCCAACAGATCCGTCGAAGATCCCAGATGTCCTGGACTTCACCATCACAGGAGGACTGGACTCGGCCGGAATCCAGGTACCAGAAGTCGCAGACCTTATTTCTGAACACAGCGCTTTTTCCGTCTTGTTGTACACGCCAGCCATCCTAAGGTCGACCCGGAAAAAGCTTATTTATAAGACGACGGACATCGGATCTTAACACAACTCTGGAATCCCCCGATGTCCTCTTAATATGATCCCACACGCCTGGAAGGCGTATTCACCTCTAATTAGCGCTGCTCGCCAGAAGAGGCAGCAGAAACTAAACGACTCTTGGCAGAGCCCGCACGAGGCGACGACGGATACCACCTCTGTGAATAAACAGCCACCCAGATTTCAATGTTGAGCAATAACAAGGCCCGGGCGATGATGGCATCAAACTGCTACCACCTCCAAGCATCAAGATACTGGCGAAAATTTACAATAGACCAACAGAAACATGCTCAGGTAACCATGATACCTAAGCCCGGAAGCGGGAATTCGAATTCCTTAATAAGTTTCTTTAGAACCAGTTTATATCAGAAAATTATCGTTGATAGTTGATCGCGGACTTTCTCTCAACTACTAAGCGTAATTACCTGCTATCGGGCGCGTGCAGTTTGCAACGTACTTTAGAAACCAGTTTTTGCATTTTCGTGTGACTCATCAGATTTCACAGGCTCAAGGAAACAATTTCACAATGGCCGCCACCAACAATAGCGAATCTGCCGATCAGGTCGGCATACGAGTGGAAAATTCGGAAAATGCCAACGACAACACAGACGCCTTGGGTTCCGTTGGCGGAATAGGTAGTCGTTCATCGTCTGCGCCCTCACACTACAACCCCTATGGAAGCGGATCCATAGGATAACTGGCCAATGGCTACAGTTCACCCTCGTCCAGTTATCGCAAAAATGAGGCCGAAATTGTTACGGAGCGCCATGCAGCCGAGTACAACATGCGCCACAAGGATCGCGGCATGGCATTGATCTTCAATCATGAGCACTTCGATGTTCCCACCTTGAAATCTCGGACAGGAACCAATGTAGACTGCGAGAACCTTACCCGAGTACTGAAGCAGCTGGACTTCGCAGTGACAGTATACAAGGACTGTAGGTTCAACGACATCAGGAAAGCGATCGAAGCCGCTGCTTCTCAAAATCACTCCAACAGCGATTGCATCCTGGTGGCTATTCTTTCTCATGGAGAGATGGGCTACATTTATGCCAAGGAAGTACAGTACAAACTGGAGAGTATCTGGAGCTTCTTTACTGCCAATCACTGCCCATCGTTGGCCGGAAAGCCAAAGTTATTCTTCATCCAGGCCTGTCAGTGAGATCGGTTAGATGGAGGCATGACGATGCAGCGGTCGCTTACCGAAACCGATGGGGATTCTTCAATGAGCTACAAGATACCCGTGCACGCAGACTTTTTGATTGCCTATTCCACTGTTCCTGGATTCTATTCATGGCGGAATACCAATCGAGGCAGCTGGTTCATGCAGAGTCTGTGCGCAGAGCTGGCTGCGAACGGCAAGCGCCTGGACATCCTAAAGTTTCTAACGTTCGTATGCCAACGTGTGGCCGTCGACTTTGAGTCTTGCACTCCGGACACGCCCGAGATGCACCAGCAGAAGCAAATTCCCTGTATTACCACCATGCTGACTCGTATTCTGCGCTTTAGCGACAAGCAAATGGTGCCAGCCGAACGGGTCTGATGGCTGCTGGTTTGGTTCATGAGCTGGTTGAGGCGAGGTGTGTCCAATGACCAATTTTTTCACAGACATAGTATTATAACTAAAGAAAAAATTTATATTTTTTGTAATTCTTGGCCATTTAAGAAAGATCTCAAATTCAAAATTTCAATGCCTCATATTTTGTGTCTCACGCCACGCCTAATCTATACACAGCAATTTTAGGTTTTTCCCCCCTTTTATGTTTACGCACTTAAAAATATTTATGTAAACCGCATGTGCCGTGATCGTCCTACAAAAAGTAATAAAATACACACGAATATATTAAGAATGTAGTGGACATTTTGTAACTACAAATACTGCTTTGTACCATTTATGTATACTCTTTTTATAATACCCATTAGCAAATGTTTTCCTTTCAAAATGACCGCTTATAAAATTAATCCGACGTCGAAGCTAGCCTTCGATCCAATCCTAACGCTTTTTGGCGCTTTAGCAAAAAGCCAACATCGGTATTTCCGATCGGTATGTTCTTCCTATGTTAAGGTAATTTAGTAACCGACTCCGATAAGGACGTTTCGGAACTGTTTGCGAAATACTTTTCCTTTAACTTGGCGCCGAATGTTTCTTAGAATGATTATGAAACTCTTTCTAAGATTGAGTAATATGAGCATATTGGACTGTGACCTAGTTCAAGCCACAGGACCGAGTCCTGTTTTACCCTAGTTTTACCGAGTTTTACCGAGTCACACATCCCTGACTTGGATGGTATCTCCCCATTCTTTCTTAAGAAGAATATCGCTTTCCTTCTACTCCCCTTCAAATGCTGTTCTCCTTGTCGCTCTCATCTGGTAGATTCCATTATCGGTGGAAGATTATATAGATCTAAGGTATCGCTAAGGTACTGGAGCGGATAGTAACACAAATTAGGTGTTCATTCCTCCTTATTAATTGGGTTATGCGACATCTGGCAGACCGACCATGCCATGTCCCTATTGGAGACGCCTTATCAAGTTCGTTTATCGCCTTCTCTAGTCTTCCGCAAAGCTACTCTGGTACTGCTTTCATTTATCATATTTATTATTGAGATCGCGTCCTGCTTTCATCATGCCTTCTTCCTAAAGTATGCGGATGACCATAAAATAAAAAAAGCCATTAGTTGAATTAGTTCCAGTTACTTGTTACAGGAAGATATATCCAGAGTTTCTTCGTGGTGCATCCGTAATCTTCTCCCATTAAACTTATAGAAATGTGTGTGTACCCGCTACAGAAAGCGGCTTCTTGATATCTGCCCGGCTTATCGACAATTATCGACAATTATTATCTCGATCGACAATTATAGATTGGCTTATTCTATCGACAATTATAGATTGACAGCTAAAGAGGAAATGTTAATTTGTTAAATTTAAAGAAAAAATTTAAATTTGTTGGTCACTTATACTTTATACGGCCTAAACCATATTCTATGTTGGGCTACGTGAAGAGGCACGTGAACCAATTTAAGCCAATCATTTTGAATACGGTATGTAAAGTTTGCTCCAACAAAATAGAGCGGAGAATGAAATTTTTAAAATTCTTGCTCTCCTGCCTCTACGGTTTCATGACCCTCTACCCTAGTACCAAGGCCGCTGCCTTCTTCTCAATTTTGGCACGTTGGAGGATCGCCGTCCACTGGCAGCGTTGACTTTTTTAAATAATATATTCACGAACTAAAAAATTAAAAAATGACAAAAAAAGCCTTTTTATTAAATATAAAAAATCATGCAGTAGTATAGATTTTTCAAGATATTTACTACCTCGGTCAAATTTTACCGTGCATTAAACAGGAATTATATTCGCCGCTGCCGGCCTGAGTAAAATACAATTTACAAGAATTATATTCGTCGCGGCCGGATTCAATTTATTTACGATCGAAGCAGTTTCATATATTTGTAAATTACTAAGCGAATAATTGTATAAATTACTTATTAGTAAATAATTACTATTTGTAAATTACTTACAATATATTTGTAATTACTAAATTACTATTTGTATTTACTAAGCGCAAACGTATATCTTTTCCTTAACGTTTTCTTACTTACGTTTGAAAATTCATATGCGACCTCTGATCAGGCAATGGCCGATCTTTTAGCAAAATTTGTTTTTTTTTTTCAAGCAATTTACTCTCCGCCTAAAATGGTAGATCAGCCTTACCCATATAACATTCAATCAGCTTATCTTATTTTCTTTTCGTTTTTTTCGAGAATAGGTTTTTATTCCTATGATAGTACCCGGTACTCATCTCTTCCACCCACAATGTAACTAACTTTTAAAGTTTAGACTTTAACGGTATGAATTCTCAGCAACAAATTTTTGTTGCATTATTTTGCGCTGGGAAAAGCAACAACAAACCTACAGCCATACTACCGATTTAGTAAAAACAAAAATAAATTCTAAGAAATTTAAAAAAAAATTCTAAAAATTCTATAACTCCTCTAAAAATTCAAAAAATCCGATTTGGCTGCTTTCTTTAATTGTAGGTGTAGATTAGCTATTGAAACAGTTTGGCATCAAAACATTTTCCAAAAACTTAATGAACTGGCGCTATAACGAAATTTCAGACATAAACTTAATCTGCGCGAATACCGTACGAGTCCAAGTTCCAAATCGGATAGCTCTATCTCTTATAGTCTTCGAGATCCCCGATACTCTTATAGTCTCTGAGATCCATGCGTTCATACGGACAAACGGATATGGCTATATCGCCTCGGCTGTTAATGCTGATAAAGAATATATATACTTTATGATTGATGATTCTACGATTACCGGGTATAAAAAGGGTAAAGTCCAATGCTTCCAACTACCGAGGCATCTCTAAATTGTCAGCCATTCCAAATGATTGAAAAACAAATTACTCCTTATTTGCAACACTTTTTCTTTGCATTATTTCTTGATGTTAGGGTTAATAATTTTAACCAATAACCAATAACCACTAATTTATTGGCATTGGCATCCTTTGTCACAAATGGCTTCCGAAAGGGATTTCAAACTGAGGTTCTATACATAGATTTCTGTAAAGCTTTTTATTTAGTTAATCACTTACTCCTGTTGAGTAAACTGAATCTTTTGGGATTTCCTACAGACCCTACTTAGATGGAAGAACACAAAAAGTCTTATTTAAATATATATGTACTTTCCCGCTTGGTCCGTGCTATATCTGGCGTCCCTCAAGGAAGTCATCGTGGCCCGTTAGTATTTACTCTTTTTATTCATGACATGCTCCCTGCTTCAACAAGCTCTGTAGTTCTTATGTATGCACACTATGTTAAACTTTGTCTTCAATACAAATCCATTTCTGCTGAAAAATGTTGAAAAATGGTGTCTAGTGAATGATCAACGAGTAAGTATGAATGTGTCTAGGTATATGATTCTAATGGATCAAAAAGTAAAAATATGTCTTTTTCAATATCAAAATTATGTCTTTTTATCGTTCTTGTTCTCTCCAGGCTACGTATTTTGTCTATGGGATTACATTTAAAAATATAAATCAGGGTATGATCTTAGTGTCCTATTAGGCTTAAGACTATAATTGAGGACCATATGTCCACAATGCATTAAAAGAATGATGAAAAGAATTTATCGACCCCTATATTATTAAAAGTTTATTTATTTCTTTGGTGCGTCCGCTATCGGAGTACTGTTCATGTGTCTGGAGTCCCCAATATGGTGTACAATATGGCTGTTAGGGGATTTAGCTGGGATGCCAATCTTTATCTCCTTTCGTATCATAGCATACTCTTACTAATAGATTTACTAATAGGAATGCTAGCTGGACTAATTGATGCAATAGCGATATTCTCAATTCCGAAAGACCTACTTTGTCTTTCAGATGTCTACTTTCCCGTTTGTCAAAAACCCCTGGGGTGTAAAATTGAATTAAACTGCATCCGAATAAAAATTAAATGCCGAATAAAGGGGTAAAAATAAATCAGAATATAAATCACATTTTCAAAACTCCTTATGCACCAATCGAAATTTTCACAAAAAATGAAAGATTAATATAGGCAAAATTGTTTTTTAAGGGACTGAAGAAGGAGTTTTCAAGAGAGGCAGACAACCAAGTGGAAGACTCTTCTTAAAAACCTGAGAGTGTTGATTTGAAGGACTGCCGTTGAATAGTCCAAAGGAAGTTTAAAGTCAAATGCAAGTGCATTTGACCGCTTTTGAAGAGTCTGACAACCCGAAAGAAGTATAAATTAAAGTGTAGGAATATAAGTACGCGTCAAATTAGCCGGGGGGTTCTGGAAAAATCAAGAGGATGTTCCTCGCCTAGGCGAGGTGATACTAAGGTAGATGACAGTTGGCTATCGGTGATCCGTCCGAAGACAATTGACGAGCCAGAATACGCCAGTTAAGTTGAGGCATACGATTGGAAGAAGCCCGAGAGGCGGATCAGCTGCAGCCCACGGTAAGCGAGTCGAGTTGATCCATTTCCAGACCACAGCACGTACCCTTAGCACGAACCTCAGGCTCGCCACAAAGCCGGATGTGCGTATGCATCGCGACTTGCGCACGGGAAGGGAAAATTTATAAATGCAACAAACAAGGATTAGAAGGACTGGTTTTCGAGTTACTGGTGATTGAGCTGATCGATTTAATTGCCGCTTGGCTACCATTATATACATATGTCGAATTCGGGCACTTCACTCTTCACTATTTTTAATTAAAGTTCGGAACTGTGAGAATATTCCCTGGGAGTAAAGTTGTCTACACTGATGGAGGAACCGAGACTAGGATATATCCGAACTTTTTTTACGTGGCGTGTACCACACTGAAGGGATTACAACCACGGCACTCAAATATGCCTTCAAAAGGCAAATACTGCATAAGCATGGATGGTACGCCTGCCAGCACCCCATACTAGAAGCTATACAGAGGGGCAGCATACTCCCTCTGTATAAGAGGCGAAGTGTATCTATCACCTCTACTGATCTATGGGTCCTTTACCTGCGATATGGGTATCAACCACAGCCGCCACGATACTCCCACAAGGGGGCCTCGGTTTCAATGGCTCGTTGACC